GTGTACTTAAGTACAAAAATCAAGTAAATGTACTTAGTTACTGTCCAGCTCTGCAGATAAGAGATATTATGATTCTCCAAAAACAAAAACTTTATTCATACAAACTTATTTCAGTCAACACACTCTATTACTTCAAACTAAGTGCAAAATACTGCATCCCAGCACACATGACATGATGCTGCACTGTGTCTCTCTCTCTCTCAATATCTGGTTGACATGAATTGTATAACTTTTGTGTCCGTGGTTAAAACAAGATGTTCATTTTTTCTCCGTCATCTTGATTGATGCTTATAATGAAATTGTGGTGTGCGTCATGGCAGGCGTGGCTGTGTACTGGTGTGTTGACTGCGCAGACTCATTGGCATGATTGACAGCAAACGTGAGCGGTCACGGGCCTACGGCAGGGTGCGACCAAGTAAAAAATAAAAAAATCTCCAAAAAATTGCTAGTTTTATTTAAATATAGCTAAAATAGCTCCTTGTCGCAACAAAAAAAAAAGTCGCAGCTACAATGAGAAAGTAGCTAAATTTGGCGACAAAATCCCCAAATTGGCAACACTGCTGGGGTTTGGCAAAAGTAGAGTGGGACTGTGGGCAGTGCTCGGGGTGGTGACTGAAGGTGGTGACTGAGTAGTTCTGACGTCAACTTTTTACAGAAGTCACAACGGTTCGTGAAAAATCACAGCTACTTTAAGCAGGCTGTGTGAATTTTACTGTGGACTGACTGTTTTGAAACTTATATGGTAGTTACATAGCACCTAGACCTCAGTTATTGTGAAAAAAGCCAGGAAATGTCAGTTTTGACAATATGGGACCTTTAACACAATTTTAAGGTATGGAACATGTCAACCCCTAAACAAACCCTCTAAACCTTGTCTAAATCTAATCTTACTCCTAAACTAAATAAATCAGGTGAATTTACTTTTTTTAACGTAACTGTGTGGATTTCATTGAGACTGTGTGTTTGACAGATTTATTAAGAGGTTTCACCACAAAGAGACAGCAGCTTCAATCATTCCCCATTCACCCCGTGCTGTTTTGGGGATGTTTGCAATATAAATCTTAGCCTACACAGAGAGTGGGTTGATACAAGCATTGATCAACTCTGTGCTAAAGTCCACACTAGCAGCCATCCTCACAGACTGTTCAATGAGCAATTACTTGCATCTACCCAGTGTGGGTGTGTATGTATGTGTGAGCAAGCATGACTTTCAGAGACAATTATTGCGAAGGACAGCATCATTATGCAGTTCAGCAATGCATTTTAGGCACAAACCAGATTCTTTTTTTTTTTTTTTTACAACTTTCAGCTTTTAACTTATACAATCTTTGATAAGTTAGGCAGCTATATTTATTCTGACTCATTCTTGATTACCGTGGAGACAGCAGTAGGATTTGTGCAATATTAATAGCCACTGCACAAGTAGATGCACGGCATATTAAGTAAGTTGAATGACAATTGCTTGGCCTGTGTTAACAGCCCCATGTACTCTTAAATAAAATCACTTGAATCATTATTATGTCACTCAAACATTAATTTGACACCAATGACATATTTAAATATGAAAAAAGCATAATAAAAAACATTTATGAAAAATATTTTTTATATCTATTACTTTTAAAAAATGAGGGGAAAATCTGAACTTTTGATTTTGAGTTTCCACAACCGTTTGTATTTTAGAAAAGCAAGCTTATAACTTTTGGACAAGCATTCTTTTCTAATTATTTATATCATTAATTACTCATTTTGACTTGCTTTCCTGCAGAATTGTTAGACCTTGCACTAATGTTTAACCCTGGAAAACTAAATAATTTAAAGAATAACGCTAAACGGCACAGTTGTACCAGATGGAGGGTCCAAAGTTTTTTTTTTTTCACATTATGTAAATTGATATTATAAAAATAGATGCAACTTTTTTCATGACTGAAAAGTCAAGGGACAGGTTTGTCACCTCAAAAAGTTACAATGTAATGTACTTTCCATTTAATGCTGTTGACAAGCCTTCCACAAGAGACATACTTTTGCATAATAATAATAATAATAGTCATATTGTAAAAGCTTCTCTTAAACCAGCTGGGAAAAAAAGCATTGTCTGTGTTCTTTTCCTCGGCAGCACCCATGTTCATCATCTTTGTTTCTGCTGATACTGATGATTCTTGTCTTGTCACAAATCAGATATTTCCCATTGAATGTTGCATTAAAGACAGCTCTTTATTTCTTTCTCGCCACCGCAAGCCAGAGACCTTCAGCAGTTCCTTTAGTGGCCATTATTGCCCTTGATCTTGATATTGCACAAAAATAAGTCAATCAATATTAGAAATCTGTGACTTCTGTGTCTTCTTTTATTATTAATAATGCACAGACTCACTACAGGTTACAGGTTAGTTGTGTATATGTGTTTGCATTTGTTTCTTTTGTCACTGTGCCGGCAGGGATTGTAGGTGGGGGGAGTGAATGTACAGCGCTCTCTCCCACCTTCAATACCACGACTGAGGTGCCCTTGAGCAAGGCACCGAACCCCCAACTGCTCCCCGGGCGCCGCAGCATAAATGGCTGCCCACTGCTCCGGGTGTGTGTTCACGGTGTGTGTGTGTGTTCACTGCTGTGTGTGTGCACTTTGGATGGGTAAATGCAGAGCACTAATTCCTAGTATGGGTCACCATACTTGGCCACATGTCACTTCACTATTATTTACAGATTATTAGTAAACCTTCAGTAAAAATGACCTTCAACACTAGCCAATCAAGAGCAAGAAAATGTCTGAAAAAAAGGTAATCTTCCTTGTGAGTAAGTGAAATAGAAAATATAAAAGTTTTATCACAATTAGTTTTATCACAAGTATGTGGGCCTCTGTAGAAAAACATTTTCAACATTTTTCACTTTACACACACTTTTTTTATGTGACTAATTTAACTACTAAAACAATTTGTTCAAAACTATAAAATCATGTATCTAATAAAATAATCTATAACTGGGAAAGTTATGTATTTGTGATGTTATCAAATGATCTATGAAGTCCAGAGAAAATGGAAAATGTCAAATTATCTGATGCAAGATTCTGATGTTCTGTTGCTCAGTCAAAGTATTTGATTAAAAACAGATCTTTATCATCATGTTTAATTCATTACATATAATTCACACATTAACTTTCAGAATGCATTATATTGCAGAATGCAGTATATAAATATAGTATTTCAGTATGTGAAAAAAAACCTTTTCCACAAAGAAAATTCACAAAGGAAAACATCTGTCTTTGACTGCCTTCAGACATTTGAGGCAATTAGGGGACGCATCAATGTGTCAAATCCTGCTTAATGGCATCAAATGGTGAAAGAAGAATACTTAAGTACATAATTTCTGCCTGACAGCAATGTAGCATTTCTCTCATGGCTTAAATGTAGAAGCCAAATTCTTTCCTAGAATTTAGGATTAGAAGTAAAAAAGAAAATAATAGATTGTCCTTACATGAAGTAACTGTACACATGATAATAATTTAAAAAAAGAAAAGTAATTCTTTATATAATTAATATCATTCAATTTTTGAAGAGTTGTGCCACATGACATTAACCTTGCTATGTCATAAAACATCAGATTATCTGATCTGAAATAATAGTAAAAGATTGTCAAACTACTTAGTGAAGTCAAGAATGTCATTCTTTTAATGAGGCTTTTTCTTTTTTGTGAACAGTCACAGCACCCCTGTTTTAAATATCAAAATTAAATTAAGTGTATTCAATGCTTTTCATGTATGAATTGCATTTTTGTGTTTATGTATTTTTTTATAAATTAATAAACGGGACAAAAGAAAAAGCATCATACCATTGACCCATTTATTAAAAATACGCAAATCATGTATATTTACAATAGACATAGTCCAATCTGACACACTTTGTTTCCTACTTTCCTCAAATTATTTTACCATAAGACTCTGCTGAATGGTTATGAGATTTTCTCTCAGGAGGAATATATATAGGCTGTCACATCATCCAGTCCAGAGCTCTCGTTATCCAGATACTCCAGAATGACGTTGCCTCCGTTGTGCAGAGGACAGTCTGTATTGGAGAGCAGTGACTGGAGGCTAGCGTCCATCCTAAAGGCTTCACCCGTCTCAGGGTGACACAAACGCAGTTTCTGTGCAGAGCATAGTGGTATGTTAATGTGAATTGTTTTCACCAAATAATAAAGAAATCATTTTGTTACATAGTCATAATCCTAAAACAGTGGCCCCCCAACCACATTCCTGGAGCCCTCCAACAATGCACATCTTGCATGTCTCTTAATTAAACACACCTGATTCGAGACTTGAAATGGGTGCATCAGACAAAGGAGACATGCAAAATGTACAGAGAGGGGATGAGGGCACTGTCCTATAGAACAAAGTTTTATGTTGTGCTGTATAGCTGACCTTAGCTGTGAGCACGTTGTTGTTGTTTTTCAGACTGGCCTGAGATGCAGCAAAGTCCACTACTTTGCCAGCACTCCACTTAGAGCAGAAGAACATGGGCAAACTAGGGTCTTCAGCTTCTTTTGGCAGAAACACCTGCAAATACGTCCGTTCTGTCTGCAGAGGAGGAATTTCTAATGTTATATTTGTCATAAATGAATGCAAAGGAAGGTACTTTGTAATATAAGTTTGGCACTGATACCTGTGGCAGGCCTTTATCTCCTGACGCATGCATTTTAAGCTTCATCAGAGCAACTTTTGCAGCGGTTGCAGCATTTTTTGCTCCTTTTCTGCCTTTACTTGGTGGTGCATTCTTCTTTGACTCTGTTGGAAGTATTGTAGAGATTATTCTTTGGCTTTCTAAGAATTATTTGGTATTACAAACTCTTCAAGTTTAGACACTACTGCCATCTAGTGGACAAAAATTGTACATACCCCAAACATCAGGACACAGAAATCCAAGACAAAACAGTGTACTTTGCAGTGTATTGCTAAAAAAACTGACCGACTATCTTCTGCACCAGCTCCTGTGTTGCAGCCATGCGAGGCTTTGGAATCTCCAGTTTCTCACACTTATGGTCATCCTGATGCCGATGTCTGAAACCGAAGGAAAACAGTCAAATATGTAGAAGAGGACACAACACCTAGTACACCAGCTGTGCCTATGACTATATGCACACAACATTATTGTTTTATCTACTGGTTTTCCACTATAGTCTCTCTGTCCATTAGGGTGACACTTAAGTGTTGTTCGAAATGTAAAGTATGAAATGCAGGACTATTAAATGATGATTGTAAGAGGTTTTATACGTGAGACAGAAGTGTTTTTCACAGTGTGGGCAGATGACAGGCAGCAGCTCTTTCCCTTTGCAATCCTCACAGCTACATGGATATGATGTGCTTCCCCCAGACCCAATCTCTTTCTTCACCAGCACCTGAAAGAATTAAGAGAATAATCTATAACAGCCATTCAAACCCCAGGAATTAGTCAAATAAACACACATTTCTACACATTATGCATTTATATTTATATAATCTGTGCGTGTACAGAATATATGCATATGTTATGGGTTTAACAATTGTATATTGCACTAATTATTAATTTGACTTTTGTCTTAGTAAACCCATTTCTCACTCACCTCTGGACAAGAGTGGGAGTCCCGGCTTCTGTGTTCCAAACTTTAGCCAGTAGAGGAGATTTAATGTTACATGAGAAAAAATAATGATTGCAATGAATTTAATGAATTATAGAAAATCTCAAATCAATGCCTTATTCAAGACTAATTTTCCTACACAATTTATGAATGTACTATATAAAAAAACGTGTCTCCCCACAAAATATACTGTGGAATTACCACTGAAAGGTACCAGAATGGTATTTAATAAATATTATGGTAGTGAATACCATAGTATTTTTATGGCATTCCACAAATGCCATGGGACCATTATGAAAAGAGAAAAAAAAAAAACATGATAGGACCACCATAGTCAGTCATTTTCCTGTCTTTGTTATTACTCAGATCTGCACTATTTAATTGAATTAGATTAGTACAGATTTGAGATTAATGCCGAGTTCACACTGCACGATTTTCAAAGTCGTCGGGTCACCGTGGTTTTCACATTGCACGACTATCTGAGGTAGCAGTCAGTTGCTGCTGTGTTCACATTGCACGATGGATCGGCGACAGGAGGTTACACACTGCATGACTTCACAATAGGAAGAATCGCCGACAGCTCTGTCTGGTCCAAAAGGGTCTGGCTGCAGCTTGGCGCTTGCACTCTCAGACACTTGCACTTCCGCTAGTGACGTCACTTGCAGTCTTTTTTATTTTTTTCTATTTATTGATTACTTTTTGTTTGAATCTCTCAACATTTTACAACAGTAGCCAGGTGGTGAAGACAAGACAAAAGAAACTAAATTACGAAGTCACTTGCAATCGCCACTTGCACTCTCCGATACCTGCGACGTCACTTGCAATCGACACAAATCTTGCGTGTTGCCAATGGAGACAAGACGCTGTGGTGGTGATTAAACGATTAAAACTAATTT